ACTCCTCTCCTCTAAAATGTAAACCATGTTAAGCCCTTCTAATATTTTTGTCATGTGCAACAATGCCACAGATGCAGGGCATCACTGTTATTCTGAGCTTGAAATGGTATTTACTACTCTCATGGATTTCACAGAAGTTACGTTGGAAGAAGCAGAGCCAACACTCCACAGCAGAAACTTGAATGCAATTAGGAAAATATATTTGAAAAAGATATCATTATAAGCTCTCCCTTAAAACCCAGGAAGCAAGAAAAGTGGGCATGCAGAGGCATGCAAGAAAAATAGTCCAAGCAAATGGGTTCTCATGCCATTCTGACCTCTAAATCATATTCTGGCGGCACTGTTTAGAATTGAAGTGGTGGAAATTTCCATCCAAGCAAATGTTTCAGTATTACACATGCCCTGTTAACTGAGGATTGTGACTTTGGAAAAACAGAGATGGTGTAAACACTGAAAGATCGGTGACTGATTCTTTAGGTAACTGACAGTTCTTGCATGTCATGTTTTTATCAAATTGTTTGGACTCAGTAGATGCCTTTATAAACCATCTATCGCTACATCTAAACATGCCATAAAAGAGGCTAGACCCTGAGATTTTGGTACATGGAGAGACACAGTTCCTATCTAGTTCTAAATCTTTGCCTTGTCTGTATACTAACAGAAACATGAACTCAAGAAGTGCTTACCAGTGAACTCCAAAGGTCACGTATTGCCTTAATGCTGAAATATACATACTTAAAATGCGTGTATATATGGTGGGGAGGGGGATAAAAGCCATCCCCACACTATAGGATGCCAAGACAAGGAAGGGAAGGGGTGCAAGAACCATATAAGTTGTGTTCAATATGAAGATCCCCACATAGTTTTTTGGGACAAAGTAATGGACTGTATAGTTTGGGACTCACAATGCAAAGGGAAAGAACTTCCCATGACAGCAGACTCATTATGATCAGGGGTGAGTTTGGCACCAATTTTACAAAAATCTTCAAGTTAATTCTTCCCGTCTCCCATATAAGCCTGCTGTTCATCCCCATGACTGGGGAGCTGGGGAGGGGGGACTCTGCTTTTGGGTACCCCATGGGGGATGAGAAAGCAAGCCTACTTCCCATTCCTGACAGTGGGTGGGTCCCCACAACATACCTTCATCACACAAAAGCCACTCTGGCTGGATTCGAACAACACAAGCAGCCGTCCATGGCTTACCATGTTGTGTGAAGCCAGTCACTGGGTCATCTCCTCCACCAAAAGGCACGGAGTGGAACTGTTGAGTCACAGAAACATTAGGCAACCTTTAGTCTAGGCACCCTTGTTAGGTACAGACCACAGTCCTTCTGACTGTTAAGAGTACTGGGCATTTCACTGGTGTTCCCATAATGAGATGCATGTACTGGGTGCAGGCCTTGCCCTCATCTGTGGTTAACTTCAGGCAGCTCCACAATCCAGGAATTGGAGAAAAATGATTGCACAATGTTTAGTGACTAGGGGAACGTGGGTAGCATGATGGGGCTGTTGCAGGTCAGCTTTGGCCCCTTGGTATGTGGTTGTGCAGCCCTGCTCTAGGCATGCAAACTGCATGGAGCCAATGTTGCTCTTCATCAGTCACCTCTTCGGCCTTTGGCTGGGACATAGTGGTCCATATGGTTCATATTTATGCACACATACTCCTTCATTCTTGTTTCCCTAAGGATTGATCATATGCAAAACTTGCTCTTGCAGTTTCTATACCAGGATAATGTAGCTTAAGCTCTTACTGCCAGGAGCTCAGCCTTAGGAAAGGCATGTTAGAGAAGAAAAACTGGACAAAAGCCAGGAAACCATCAAATGATTTGTGGTTAGAACTGTTGTAGCAATGAATTTGGCTCTTTGATGTCTGCTCTAAAGCAAAGTAAAGCTCCAGTATCACCTCTTTTTTCCACAATAGTATATTATTAACTCAAGCCAACTTCTTGGAGTCAAACATACAACAAAAGGGTAAAAAACTGGTTACTTTTCTGAAAGGCTCAAAGGCAGAGACCTAACCAGGTCTCCTGGTCAGCCTTCCATGTGTTGGGGACAGAATGTTGCTCAATTCAGATTGAGGTAATCGGCGCACACGGACTGCACATGGACTTCTGTTGAAAACCCATCACAGGTTATGCAATACTGTGTTTCAGAGATGGTGCTTAAATTCGTTTTGATTTCCTGCCAGCTGGTCTCTGGAAGAATCCTCTCTCTAAATTCAGACACGCAAAGGCTGTTTGTGGTTACTCGGTGGTGTAATGCACCATGCGCATGCTCACAGGGATTCTGTTCTTTGCATTCTCACACTGAGCATTGCTCTTAAAACCATTGAGAACTGAACCTTGAGCTTAAACTAAGCTCTGGGTTTGCATCATCCAAAGAACCTACATGCTTAGCATAACAAAGGTTGTCTGAAGTCTCCACAGCACATGTGAATAGCTGATACAGAGTAACAAAACAGTGCAGTGAAGAGTTACATCACATCAGGGTTCACCCACTGAGCAAATGGTAGAAGCAGCAGCTTATCCATTTGAGAGGTTAATGTGCTAGTCAGGCCACTTTTAGTGCTATGATGTAACACTTCTTCTGCTTTACTGTAAATGACTATAGGGCTTTGCACTCATTGCCTGTCTTTCAAGTAAAAATGCAGTAATGTTTAGGGCACCAACTTGACCACAATGTTAGCACACTCCCCTTGCAACTCAGAGCACATTGAGTAACTTTGTAGGCATGCATGTTCACACACTAAGCACTTATGGCTTAATGGTTTGATTTCCAGTTCCCAGATTTATTCTTATCCAACATGGCCAAGTGAAAAAAATGTTTTTGTGTTAGAGAACAATAGCTGCCCCACTTCTATGGTTACAAAAGAAACACGTTTAGCTGTCATGGGAACCTACTGGATTCTGCCTGTGACATCACTGGTGATGATTCACCTTTCTTGGGAGAGAATTTATGTCCATATTAACCATCATGTACCATCTCAAAATAATCAGAATCCCAGTAGCTCCATATTTCACTGCTTCATTGAATAGCTTGTGCTGCTCCTCTTCAACACATTTCCACTTTTAAAGTTACCTATCCTCTGGAAAATCTTGTGATCTAAGCTAGTCAATTTTGCAAGACTTGGACCAAACTTGGAGAAGTGAATGGAGTTAAAATGAAAAATACTAGCTGTTAGTTTTTCTTTCATTATTTGTCCAGGCTGACATTGTTGGCATCTGGCTAACAGAGTTATGATACAGTATTGCTCCCTTTCATTGCTATCAGGTTAGTAAATACATGGGTGATACGGACTGAGGTGAGGCAAGATCATTTCCTCCTAACAAGTCACCTTGTGGAAGATTTCCATCAATAGTACCAAAGATTCAGAGATTATGGGAAAGACATCATTTAGGCTTAATATGAACCTTAGTATAAACACAGTAATGCTAGGGAAAGTTGAAGGCAGAAAAAGAAGAGGAAGGCCAAATATGAGATGACTCCAGAAAGAAAGCCACAGCCTTGAATTTACAATTGCTGAGCAGAGCTGTGAAGGACGACATTTTGGAGGGCTTTTATTCACAGGGTCATCCTTAGTCAGAAATGACTGGATGGCACATAACAAATGAAGATTTTTAAAAGCGGATGGTTTTTATTTGCTAAAAGCTTTGTAAAGCACCTTAGATTACTGTAAAATATATAATAAGAAGTTGAACCTGCAAGTCTTCTGATGCCCATGTATTGTTTCAAATAATATGGGTTGTATCAAATGAGTCCTACTTAGAATAGATTCACCTGAATGGGAGTAAGGTGGTCAAGTCTCATTCATTTAAGTGAGCCTTTAGGTCTCAGAGTGAATACAACCCCATGGCATTAGTATTAGCAGAATAAAATGCACTGAAGGAAAGATGAGCACAGATGTTAGATTCTACTAACACACACCAGAAAACTTTAAGATTTATACTTCGCAAAAACTGAATTTGCAGGAGGCAAATTATATTTAGTCATAGGCTTTGAGGTAATTTTATACCACATTTCACATGCTTAGTTACCAGCAAAATACAAGACTCCTTCATAAAAGGAACACATGCACTGAATTACAGCTTGAATTCTTTCCATTTATAAGGGCACATATCCCCCACATGTTTTTTAAAAGTCACATGTCTGGCAAATGAATAAGAAGCTGTACTACTAAGAAATAGGCCTATATATTCATACAAAGATGAAAGTCTCATGCAGAGAAACATAGATGCAAGCTCTAGGGCATTTGAAGGGGGCAAAAGCCTATTGTAAACAGACAAAATTAACACTATATTAAGTTTCTTCTTTCAAATACACAGTAAGAGGGAATGTTTTGACTTTTTTTGTGGGATGCTGGGATCTTATGTATCTGCCAAAAGAATTTCATACGTGCATATAAGTTTTTTCCCAAGTATTCAAGTTTGCCTTAGATTTATACCAAAGTCCCCTTTCACAAGGTCCCTTTTACATGTTCCACAGCAAAGTTTCACAGGATTTAAAATTACTACTGTGGGAATTTCCCACAGCAATAAAAACACTCCAGGGAGTATTTTGCAAGACTAGATGGGAGGCCAGAATCTAAGATATATATATTAAATGTTACAACATATAAGTTTATTATTATTCTTACTACTATAGTAATAATATTGAATACAAGTACTGTAGTTATTCAGTATCTCAACTTTTACACTGATTATCATTATGTTCTTGTGGATGCATACACAAGCTGCCCCACTAGGTTTTATAGAAGCTTCACATACTCTCACGTAACCCCCCTGCCCCCGCTACCTCCACTCAGGCAGTAGTTTCCTGTCTGCAACAGAACTTCTGCATCCATAAGAAATCTTTGGGCAGATATGTTCATCTTAACTAGCATTGCTGTGAAGACCATCAACCCCATGACTTATCAAAAAGCTTAGAGATGTAAGAAGATCTCAAAATACAAGTTTAACATTAATTATAACAACTGGAAAACTTTAAAGAACAGTACACAACTATTGGTCTTTCTTCAAGAAGGTTTAATAAAATTTGATTTTTTAAACCTCATACTGTACATTTAAATTTACATCAACAGATAAAAAATAACTCATTACAAAGTTCATTTTCCAGTGAATTTTCTGCAGTAAAAATAGCTGCTACATCTCTTTCTCCTAACTGCTGAATAGGAGTCAGAATTCTTTCCAAAAATAGAATTCATATTTTTATCAGGATAATTCACTATGGGTGAAGGAAAGGGGTGGGGAATGGTCAGCTGAAAGAAAAATAGGGATTATATATAGATTGTTTTAAAAGGAACATGCATAGAAGAAATATTTCATCAATAAATATATTTCAACCAATATTAACATTTTCAATTTCATTTGGAGGACAAGTAAAACTGAACCTTGAGCCCTAGACTATGATTAAGTCACCTGAAAAAAATGCTCAGAGCATGTCTCCATGGATCATGCCTTTTGTAAAACAGCGGCATTGGCATATGCCTGTATTACACTATCTTAGAAACTTCCTGGCAGGAGAACAGTATGTAGGACTACTAAGAAGCAAAGTCCCACTTCCAGAGGGACTTAATCTCAAAGGCCTGCAGTCTTAGTAGATCAAATACTTTCCAGAATGCTGTAGCTGCTGCTGTTCTAAAATGAAACATTCATTTTCTTCCTTTGTCAGATACATTAGCTTAAATTACAAGATACAATATCTATTAAATAGGAGCATTAAATTGCCAGAGTTGTATGAACATGCTCACACATATACACGCACACACAAATATATCAACTTTGAAATGGTATTATTTTTGCCTTCTTGTGAGGAACCTCGGCCTTTGCTCTGTCTGGCTTTGAGGCTCCACTACTTGTGCATGATCAATGCACACATGAGATAATGCCCAATGCAACTTCACCCGCAGCACCTGTGCTCAGTAAAGGATACCTGGCCTCTTCACTTATCACCCTTGACATGTAACAGCTGCAAAGTTGTTATTTTAGGAGGGCTTTTGTGCCAGAAATTCCAATGGCTATCCACCTTTGGTATGGGTAACACCCTTAATTATATGGCAGTGTACATAATCGGACCATGAACCCTGGAGCACTTTTGTATCTTCAGGTGTCAGCTGGGGACTTTGCTGACCTCACTCAATGCTGTCAAAAGGATGGATACAGGAACATCTGAAGTCACTGTGCCTGAAAATAAGGCCACTTTTCTTCATCTTCCCCCATTACAAAATCACTTCTTTAAGGTCTTTAGCAGTGCACCACTCCGAAACAGCCAGATGGTAAAACCAATGACTGATGCTGACGGGCCCAATTAACTGTTCATGTGTTCTTTCATTTCTGATGTTGCACAGGATCACAATACTCAGTCCTCTGTGTCTGGTTGTACTCCTAGCATAGCATGAAGCTCCTCTGCTGTATAGCCCAACAGATTCTGTAGGTCACATACAAAACGGTATACGTAACGTTTTCCTGAAGTCTTGTGAATGATGTTCTTGTCATAATAATAGCGCAGGCCACGGCTCAACTTCTCATAGTTCATTTTGGGCTTGTTTTTCCTTCTGCCCCATCGTCGTGCAACCTTAAGTCAGAAAAGAAAAAGCCAGTTCATTATATACTGTTAAATAATATATATAAATAGTTAGCAATTGAGTCATTGCTATTGCTGCAAATGCCATGAGCTTGAATCAGTAGCTACTGCAGGAGAAAAGTTAACAGGGCTGACCAGGCACAAGTGTTAATAAAATGCTTGGTCCTAACAGGATTAATGACCTGCTAAGGCAAAGGTAGATGTTTTGTTTCCACCCTCTGAAATGTCAAGGGCTGCAATGACGAAATGCAAGTCACGCTAAACCACAAAACTTTAAAAAAGTAAGCATTTGTTCTGAAGCATTTTTATAAAGGACGCCTCTTGAATTATGAAGCACCCACTTGGTGCCAATTGAACTTTAAATCTATAATGTTTTCTTGGGTTGGGTTGGAGTTGTAGCTTAGTTTAGTGTATTTCCAGAATGGATCATGTTTTAATACACTTATGAACTCTTAAAATATAAGCCAGTGAGTGCCTGGATTTTTATATGCCATATTAATATGAGTGGTAAACATCAACTACATAAGCACAAGGCTTATGTAACTAAGGCTGAAATCATGTTATTACAAACATCGAGGGACCAAGTACAGGCTTTTGAACATAATACTTGAGAGCCCTCTGCCTTTCCTGGCAGCCTCATAGCAAGAATAGGCATGAAATAATTTTCATCCTTGATAACTGACTACTAACCTCATCTGGATCAGCAAGTTTGAACTCCCATCCATCTCCAGTCCAGCTAATGAATGACTGACAAGATTTGTCCGTTAGAAGTTCCAAAAGGAATTGCCACAACTGTATAGGCCCACTGCCTGTAATAGCCAAGAGAAAGTTGTTAACAATCACATGCACACAATATACAAAAGAAAGTAGTTCTTAGGATGTTCATGTAAAGGATGTAATCATTTTTAAAATTTTCCCAGCTGAATGGTAAATCTGATACAAAAAAACAACCCTCTTTGATGATAGGAATTCCTTTCAGCAGATAAAACTTAAAATTCAAAACAATGGTCTGCAACACTCTTTCCTTTCCAAACAGCTAGTTACAATTCGCAGTACTGTAAGGTTCAGCTTTGAAATCCACATAACTGAACTTCATCAGAAGCTAGGATTTCAGAAAGAACTTTCACTGGACAAGAAAGACTTGCTGCATTTTGGGGGGGGGGTGGCTTTGTTATGCACAGAATGAGCTGTGACACTGTGGTTTTAATTAACCCTAATTTTAGCAAGAATACAATATTTACATTCTGACCTAATTGGATGTGCTCCAGCTCTATCCAAGACAGACTTAATTTTGTTGTAACTTTTACCTGAACAGAAACACACCCACATGGGGCATTAGATAATCAGAGAAAGAAAAAGGCAGAAGGGGATGAGAAAATATTATACTTGCCTGTAAACCCTGCTAGAATTGCTGCTGGTATAACTGGTTTTCCTTGTTCTACAGGGTCACTCCTTTCTTGAATGTAGTCTTTAAAGGACATTGTGGGTTTGTTCAGACACAAGGACTGGCTGCAGTCCTCTTCAAAACTCTCATAAGATGGTACACGTTGAACATCCACTAAAGAAGACTGGCTGTTCCAAGACTGTAGCAATGAATCTGAGCTCTCATAACTTTCTGTGCCACTGTCACTTGAATCATGCTCCCTTGGTTTACCTGAAAGGGGGAGAAATGTCATAAGCATGGGCTTAGTTGGGTTTTACATTCAGTTCTCTAACTGAAATGAACTAGATTTAAAAGTATTTATTTAAATACCACAGATACTTGGTGAAGCTGAAAAAACAAATTCAAAGTTCCTCATCTGTTTCCATTTCCCAACAGAATTAGATTTTACTAATTAGTTTACTCCTCCAAAAAAACCCCTAATTGTAAACTACAATGAATGCATCACTGAGAATTCAATTCACTATAATTAAGATATATTTAAGATCTTTAATTTTGTCCACTTATGGTAAAAATATAAGACTAAATCCAAGAGTTTATTTAACAGTTCCATAGTTCACTGGAAAGTTTCTTCTTTATAATATGACATTTATACTCAAGTCATTGAAACCTTAACTGAAGGATGGTTGAGTTTTTAATATGTTGAAGCGGACTCAAGAGGTACTATAAATTCCGAGCTTAAAATAATGGTTTATGGCTCTGTCATAAGATGTGAAGTGAGTTACTCAACTCAGAAACAAGACACCTGGGTAGTTTAATACATAATTCTTTAAGCATGTGATGGTTGCTTTGATATGTTAGGGACATTTATATCTAGGTCATACCTACACTTTAGGCTGCATTATAAACTAATGAGGGAACATATGCATTTATATAGGAAAATGTAAATCTTACCAGAATTATCCACCAGCAAGTTCAGATTGTTTCTTGTGAAATCCTGATTCATAGCACAGTAGTTCACATTGATTGTTTCTAACTGTGCTTTTGGAAACTGAAATTCTTGTTTTAGATTAACTAGATTTGGTCCAACTGATGTCTGACATAAGTCACCCAAATGGCTGGTTTTTGCATAGCTTAGAGTTTTCGGATAGCTGGGTACTTGAGCACAGTATTGTACTTGTTCAGTATTAATACCTGAAGAAGCAAAAGCACACTGGTTTTTATTTAATTCCTGTCACAGATTTTAGAAAAGTACCTGCCCACAAATAGAGCAATACATACATGGGCCTAAAAATATTTTACCAAAACTCTCTCTATTTTACCAGAACTCCTCCAGGGGGCCAAAACTTAAATACAATAGATTGAGTAAATCCCTTTGGCATCCATCTTCCCACCTGTTTTCTGGAGACTACCCAAAGCCTATACAACCAAACCATTTTACACAACCTTAAAAAAGCAAATCAGATGAAATACTGATGTAATATGGCACTATTTTCTGTTCTTATGAAGAAGTGTGATAAGGATTGCTGTCTTGCGATGAAGCTCTATGACTCTTACATTGGACTCCAGTCATGCCTCCTAGCTTCAAAAAATTGCTGCAGCTACTGTCTGAACATAAGCCATCACTAACTAAAAATATTTAAACCAGGAGCATTTCTTTCTATGGAACTGTTATCAGCACTTGTTAGTTGAGCAAATGTTGATTCATGTGCACTGATGGAATGCAAGGAATAATTAGCAATGCAGTTTTAAATGCTCTGGATGTATCTACTATTTAATTTGGAAACCAAATTTAATTAATATGAACTAAAATGGGTTAAAATGGCATTGCTAATTATTCCTTACTTTCTATATCAGTGCACATGAATGAGCATTTGTTCAGCTAACAAGGTCTGATAAGTCCCATACAAATCCTATGGTATGTGTAGAGTTGACACAGTGGGTGGTATCCAGTAGTGCACTGGCTCTAATGACCAAGCTAATGGAAGTCAATGCTAGTGCACTTGCTCCAGCAATGGTCAAAAGTGGCAGTTTATGCTTCTGCAAATGAATCAGGGCTTGTGCTGGAGCACTGTTGGACACTATGCAGTATGACAGCATCTGACCATCACTGTAAAATTAAGATACACCTCTGCCATGTTACCCAACAAGCTGATCTATTAAAGTGACTCAAAAAACTCAAATCCAAAGTTAAAGGAATATAAAAGCAATTTTAAACACTGCTTAATTTGTGCCATGGATACATTTTCAAAAGGAAATTCAGTTTCTCCAATTGTCAATAACTAGTGTAATTCACTGAATTCAAAGGCAATTCACCTAATGTATTGTTGCTGACCCAATGTGGAGATGAAGTGAGGTTGGAATTCTCCATATACTGTTCCTGGGGCTTCTCTTCATTGTCTGAAAGTAGAATGAGACAGAAACAGTTACCTAAGAGCAAAATATCGTATCTCATTCATAAGTCATAAAACACGCATCCTGAATGTCGTATTGTCTATGTTGGCTGAATTATTTGCCCAAGCTTATATTATTGTTAATATACAGGAACCTAACTAGGTACAAACTGACTACAGTTAAGAATTTTTAAGTCCTGTTAGTTTCAAAAGGTGAGAAATTAATTTGTTTCAATTAAAGAAAATGTAAAATGTTTAACTATGGTTGGACTGAACCTCTTGATGAGTGGTAATATGAATACACTTAGGATTGGAATCCAGAGTTAGTCATACTTAGGTATAGGCTCTTGAAATATTTTTTATTTCAAACTAAGTCCAATTAACTTCAGAGAGTCCATTCTGACTAAGTTAAGTTCCAATCCGTAGTTTCCTTCAAATAAAATAAATTCAGGATGTTCAGAATGTGATCTTATTTGCATCAAATATATAAGAAGTTAATGTGTCAAAAGCAACTGTTATTCTGTGGCTTTGGATAGTATTTAACAAAACAATTTAACACTTTCTTTTGAGATGTTACAGCAGGTCTGTTTTCTTTCAAATGTGTCACAATTTTAAATGGCCGTGTATTATTTTGGTTTGTCTCATTTACCTTTTAGCATCTGGTCTAAGTGTTCCCACAGAATATCACCCACATAATCAGGTGCCAGTTCCAAGAAGTGCTCCTTTCCAAGATTGCATAACTCTTGGCCATTCATGGCAAACCTTCCAAAGTTCACATTTCCCAAAGTAAATTCACTGGAAGCCCAGATAAGCCATTGACACACTTGATGCTGTGTCCATAGCCATGGATCTGCAGAAAAAGACAAACAAATTAACAATAAGCCAAAACACAGAAAATCTCGTTTTGGTATAATTTTGCTATTGGAATGAAACACAACCAACTTACTGCTTGGAATGCCCAATCTACGCTGCTCCTTTGTGAAGCCACTGAACGTTGCCTTTAAGGCCTGACTCATTACAGCCTTACTGCATGGAGTTAAGAGAGGCAATTCACAGCTGTTTGATTCTGCAAGGCAAAACAGTAGCAATGTTATGCATAATGAGAAGATGGGGACAAAATGTATTTTTATACTGTAGGAAAGGAAAAAGAGGGAGCAGATTAAAACCTATATAAGCTAGTCATATACATTTAGAGTAAACAAATCTATGTACTAAACTGTTCACTTTACAGCAATAGTTGATGGTTTAGCTTCAGAAGGGGCACATAACATTTCAACCCCAAAACAATCTGAAAAGCAACATCGGCCTGAATATAAATTTAAGTGATTGTTTTCTCTCTAGCTCTGATTTACTTCAGAAGAGGACTGCTGCCATTAATCATAATGATTTGAACTTTCTATAAGAAAAAGTATTGTAACTTTTTAAAAAAGTCACAAGTTTTTTTTTCCTGATTTATATCCTGCCTTTTTCCTACAAAGGGCTCAAGGCAGCTTACATCATTCTCCTCCTCCATCTTATCCCCACAACAACAACCCTGTGAGGTAGGTTGGGCTGAGAGTCTGTGACTGGCCCACAGTCACCCAGTTGGCTCCATGGCCGAGCGGGAACTTGAACCCGGATTGCCTGAGTCCCAGTCCCGTGCTCTTAACCACGACACCACACTGGCACTAACTTTTTCAGTTGTACAGCTCTACTATAGCAAGACTTGTTTAGCTGCAAGTGGGGCTCTGATGAACTACTGAGTAGTTTTGCCAGAAAGATTCATTTACTGTCAGTTCCTATTCTGAATTTGACATTAAAGGAGTAAAAAACTTTCATCTTGATAAGAATGCATTGTGCCTTCTGTCTTGATTCATTTCAGGCATAGGAACAAAAATGTATCCATGCTGCTGCTTTGCTTAGAATGACTTTTCTATTAATCAATCAATGTATGTATGTCTTCTCATTTCTCTACAGAGTAGCTTCCTCTGTTGAAAATAACACTGAGCCATGAGCATAAAAGAGAGCAGATGCTCACCTGAACACATGAGTAATGCCATGCTTAGGAAGAGGAACCTAAATAGTCATACTCTAACCACAGTTAAGCAACATTTAACTCTCTTGGAAAAATACTTGGAAAATGATCATGTCACTTCATCCCCACATTGGTAAATGCCTTTACATTAGATGAAATGCACTAGTTAATGACAGCTGGAAATGCTACATTTCCTTTTGATGTCAATCGATCCCCAGTTTCATATCTGTGTGACATGAAAAATGCATCCATGACACAAATTAAAAATTCTATAGCAAGTGCCTTTATATTCATTTTACTTTCACTTCAGGTTTTTTGAGTTTGATAATGTCACCAGGAGCTTTTTGGCATTTTGGTTACATTCTACCAAAATAAACACTGCAAAAATGATTTAAAACTATACATAAGCAGCTGCGTTGCTCTGATACCACTCCATTCACAAAGTATGGAAGGAGTTCTTTGTAGTTCATGTCCTCTCTAATCCCTCATATAGGTGATCAGGGAGTCCAACCTCTTCTGAATAACCACTACAATTAAGTAGCATGACAGAACTGCTACATTTATTAAAAAAAAGGAATATTTACCATAAGAAATAGAATCAAGGCCTGTTGGCACTTCCTGGACTGTCTGATCTTCATTTAATGAGGGGAAGTATCCCATAAGTAAAGAGTTTCCACCTTCAAAGCTATCAAATGCAGGCTGCCTCTGAAAAACAAGAAGGAAGTTCATTGTAAGTATTTTATTACACCACAGCAACTTTAATATCTTGTGACAGCACTAATGTAATATTCTGAATTAAGCCATAACTCCAAGTTAGCATAGGGGCTGCCCTACTTAAGGATTGGGAAAGTGAGCACAGCACACTCAAAGCGCTTTTCAGGAAACACATTCTATAGTTAGGAGTGGTTTCTAGGGTTTTTTTCCCATTATAACCACTAGCTACCTGCAAAGGACTGATGTTTCTCTTGGATGTTTCTCTGGAGGTTTATGAAAGCCTCCAGCTCAGGTACAAATCTGGGAATTCAAAAAGCTTATTCATGTACAAATCATTATGACTTGCAGTACATCTATGTAGCTTTTTAAAATTAGAGCTGAAATTCTATACCCATTTACTCGTGACTAGGTTCCATTAAAGTCATTGGGATTACCTTCTGGTGGACAGTTATAGGATTATGTTGAACCATAACTTTTGGTAATATATAGAGACTTGCACTATGAAGAGCTGAGAAGGGGAACCACATTGAATGTATGTAAATACGTAAAGTTGCAAATATTTTTAAATAGGTTAAAAGCTGTTTATCAGACTATACTATAAGTAGGCATATGCAATAAAAATCTTACTGCACATTTTTGCACTGTCAATTGTAATAGTGGGGGCTGTTTTGTTTTACAATCAGTCACCGATATACAGTGCGATCCTGTTCATCTTTATTCAGAGGGTTAGGGTTAATGTGTGTGCTTGTGTGTGTATAAAAACACCCACACCTGCTTGAAAAACAGAAGTCAAATGCACACAAAATAATAACACGTTATTATCATCTTGAAAGAAGCCTGGAGAAAAGTCTTGGTTACATTCCATTTCTGGTATTCTCTTCACTAAACAAGCAATGCCATTTATTAAAATCTTATTCACACGAAGAAAATTTGTTCTTTTTTGACACATTAAGAGGTACTTGCAAGAACAATGAGTTTGACTTTTCTCCTTTTTGGAGTTGTGCAACCCTAGACTCAGATTTATACCCCACTGGGTTCAACAGAAATTACTCCCATGTAAGTGTTTACAGAGTGGCAGCTTTATTTCCCTTTTCTCATTTACAACACATTTTCAGCAAGACAGGAGCATCTGCAGAAATTCTGCTAGCAATTTAACTCATTTTCTAATGAGTTGCTTCTGATTTCGCCCTATATTTCAAGAAAGCATGTCCCAGGATGAAAAGACTGATACAAGTTGCTGCACGGCAAAGCCCATAAGTGTGACTGCACAGAGACCATGAAGAAGAACATTTTAAAAGATTTACAGTGATCCTTTTCATATTTAGACAGAGAAATCCTGAGTGGCCACGATATGCTGAGAGTTGGAGGTTATTTATCTGTCTAAACTTGTGTAGGATACACCCTTATAGTCCGTAAGAAAAAAATGGTTCATATACTCATTACCAGTAACAAAATTTAAGAACTCCCCTGAACAATTTGTTGTATACATGAGTAATGAAGCAGCTGTCTAGTCTTCTAACAGCATAAATTCTTTCACTGTTAATAGATAAAGGATTTGAGTCATCACCAATACCTAAGGGAAAGGCCAAGTACTTTCAACATAATCTGGAAACTCCTGTGTTTTGTGTAAATAGATGACCCTTATTCTGAGTCACTGGAAAAAATGCAGCCTTATAAGAATGAGTAAAAGGCACGCTTTACTTTAAACATTATTCTGCATTTTTTAAACATGAAACTAAACAGAACAGCAAACATTTCTAAAGCTTGTATGGATTAAAGCCTACTGTCACATGAGCAATAACATTTCCATGCCAGAGTTACTACAGAATAGTGGAAAATAGTACTCATTCACAAATCCAGAAGGACTGGGAACAACTCTACAATAGTGGAACTGTGCCCTGAAGGCTGGTATGATTCAACCATTATGCCTCTAATAGTCTTTGCTACTGGCCAGGCCTACCAGCAAAGAACACAACCCAGGTTTAGTAAGCTTTGATTTCAATGTTTAGATTAATATGATTTGCTTGTGAATAGGTATCCAGTCCAGCAGGGGAAGAAATAGGGGCGAGAATTGCCCCTGTTCTTCTCCTGCCCTGCAAAAGACACAGATGGACAATTTTGGCTGTGTGGGTCTTTTTAGTTGTGCTTACAAGGAAGAGGGGCTAAGGGACTATATGGATTCCCTGTGTCCTGGTAGGGCCTTACTGCTCCCCTCCTGCACCCTTGGAATGCCCTTCCCAGATTCAGGTCTGAATTTGCATTTCCAACTTTGGAGCCACAGCTGGTGCAGAAAGAGCCCTCTGGCCATGAAGGCAGAGGGAGGTTACTGTAAGCCAGGAGTCCCAGTTCTGACCCCAAAACACATTGCCAAGCTCGGAGCTGGGGCTCTGGCTCATGCTACAGTGACCAAAGTGCCCTTATTCTTTTATTAAGTTATATACTAAAATTGCACTACAAACTTATTTGTAGTGCTATTGCCATTGAATTCAATAAACCAACAGCTTTCATTGTCCTGTCATTTCATTTCAATGACAACCAACAACTGTCACTGGAAATTTTAATTATTAGTTAAGAACATAAGAAGGAGCATGCTGAATCCAACCTGAAGTTATTTAATTTAGCATTCTGTTTACACAGGGTCCATCTGTCAGAAATCCACAAGCATGGTAGCCAGCTGCAGGAAGTCCCCAAGCAGGATATAAGTGTAACAGCACCTTCTGGCTGAGGTTCCTTAGCAACTGGCGTACAGAGACATACTGTCTCTGATAACAGAAGTAACATATAATCATCAGACCTAGTAGCCATTGATAGCTAGAATACATTTACCATATACAAATGCAGTTTCATGCCAATACGTACAGTAGATATGCCCTGTACAGGGATTAAACTCCTTGTTATCAAAAATATCTGGGAGGGGAGGTTAAACTCACCTTGGGCAGTCCTCTGTACATGCTGCATACAGGTGCTACCTGATCCATGTTTTTGATTCCAAAGTCACTCATCTAAAAATGGAAACATAATGAATGCATAAAGACTCTTTGCTAGCAGAAACAGCAAGAACCAGCTCCCAGTTGACACCTAAACATTTCATCTTTCACAGCATACAAAAATATCATACAGGACTGTCACCAAGTTCCTTCCTTCAGAAGAAACAACTAATAGACTTTTTATTTAAAGTAAATTATAGTTCCGCTACCATTAAAGTTAAAGGCCAGGGTCTAATGAACTAGGCAACTAATTCTCAACCAGACTCCATCCTATGGAGCCTCTTTCAAAAATGAGAGGAATTTTCACAAGGTGTTTGTAATATGATTGGTGGAGGAACAGTCAAATCAAGTCCAAAATTCTACAGGGTCTACCCAAGGCCTTGGGCATATATAAAGTTGTTCTTTCAATCCTGGCCAAAGATTTTCAGCATCTCTTTTATATGGGGCCTTCAAGTCCCCATGTGAAGCCAGCCTATGTTTGACTCTGAAATTTTAATAGCCACCATTTCTACCAATAATTGTCCACTATGAGAAAAAACTTGGTATTGAACTCCTGATCACAAATCATCAAGCAAGTGTCTTGCCAAGTACACTGTTAGAGTTATGTCAGAGTTACCCAGTTTATAACTAGAATATAAAGTACGTAGTCACTGAGGGTTAGTGGCTAGAGCTAAGTACAGCACTAGGATAGCCAAGTTCAAATTCCCACTGAACCATGCAACTCACTGGGTGCCTTTGGGTGAGTCAACAGTATCTCAGCCTAACCCATCTCACAGGCTACTGTGATAACAATATCCCATTTTAAGTCTAAATCTCTCCTTGTGTACAATGACTCCCTTCCATCTCTGTTAAACAACTGGATTAGCTGAGATACGCGTTTTCAGATAGAAAACATAAATAACTGAAAGTTGTATTACCATTGAAAATTGGTATTTGTTATCACTCAGTCATAGTCAGTTGAATATTTAAATATGGATGGTCTTAGCACAGTCACCACCACAGCAAAAGTGGAATCATCCCACAATTTATATTAAGATCAAATGCGAATGAAGGAATAATTGAGTACTACTGACTTTACTAGGCAGTCTTTATTCTGTTTTTGTTCAATCTTTGTTGTACATTTTAATAAGTACACAGAGCATCCCAAAATTATAATTGTTCTGGAGAATAATGATACAACTAACATATTAATTGGTTAATTAATCTCCCTGATATTCATGGAATTTATTTCCATACAAGAGTGCTTTGGATGACCATCCTTTTTTAAATCACTTTAACACTGAGATATTTTATCAGAACTGGATCCAATTTTTGTGAGTTCTAAGAAGAATCCATTCAGAGCTCCTCTGCCTTTGCTTATTCCACCTTTACTTGCTACAATAACCCATTGTATAGGGCTGGGGTAAAAATGACCAACCAAAGCCCAGAAATCTATGCACTTCTCATTAGTCTGTATTCATTCTGATCCAGGGTGAAGGAACATCCTCAGCTGTCTCTGTGGCCAACCTACTTATATTTAATTGGACAAACTACCATACCAGAAACCCACTTTAGGCAGGGTTCCCCCGCCACCCCACTTTCTGGCAGTGTCTACAGAGAATGCAGGCTGTACAAATTTCTTTGGTTTCCTTGATGCCTAGCATCAATGAGTGCAACCTTTTGGACTGCATCTATATTTTACTACTGTTACAACTGTTACATTTAAGGATAGTATTAATGAGAACAAGAGCTGATTCCATTAAAGAAGAGAGACATGATATTTAATAGCATCAAGAACAGCCTAATGTGATGTTTCCTGACTAATTCCCTTAAATCTATACTTGATGGAAATGTGATAAGGCTTGAGTACATTTACTCAATATGTGAAGCTCCAGGAGGCAACTATAAAGCATGCTAATAGGGCATTGTTCACTTTGTTACAATGACTGAGTCACAATGAACACAAATATGTTTGCATAATTCTTCGGCACAGTGTTGGTTTAACTCTTATCTTCCACTTTAGTATCAGTTTTCTGGAAAATGTCTAGAAAGGAATATCCATTTGATAGCATTATCAGCCATCAAAATATTTATTTTACATAGTTGTCTACAGGAGTCCCCGCCAGGTATAAAAGGGTAAGGAGATAACATAATTTTTTCCTCCAATGCCTTGTTATGGTTGATCCCTTAAACTTTCTAACAATTGACAAACAATTTTAGTTCCATGTCACTGTTAGTTGTCCAATCATATAGAAACCTACTTGAAAATGTAGAATAGCATCAAACATTGCAAGGGTTCTTTAACCCTTTAAAATGTCAGATTTACTCTTCTCTTCATATAAGATTCTGTAACTTGTATGGAATATATTTTCCATTATAATGGATGACAATATAGTTTTCAGACATTTCTCTAAATCCTATTTTTATTTTTCTACTAACCACTGACACCTTTATTTATTTATTTGAACATTTGTATGCCGTTCTTCACTATTATGTCTCAGGATGGCTTACATGAATAAAAGAAAAGAGAACATTACAACAAGTAATTTTCCTAAACTGAAGAGCAGTCATTTTCAGTTTTGCTTGACCTCAAAAAATAGTGGATAAAATCTAGGTTTCTGATATAAATTGCAGTTATGACTAATTACTGAATATTTTAAAAGCTGATATTAACAACCTGTATATTTAGAGTTGAATGGATTTATTTAAATAAACTAAATATATATCTTCTGTATAATATAGAACACAAATACCAAATATTTACCTGAAATTTCTTGCAATAAGATTTAAAGAGTTAAGAATAACTACTGACTTTCCTAAGTTTATTTTGCACATACATTTCAGAAACTTGCCAAGAAAATGTAGTGTCCCAGGAAGCCCATTTGTAAAACATTGGACTGTCTATGAAAAAACAAAATTTCAAGAATGTGTGGAAGAGCTTAATACTCTTTCACCTACTGTATATGGCAATCCTAACTACCAAGTGGCAGTGTACAAATAAAGCTTCCAAATAAATATTGTTCCTCTTTCAGTGATATTACTACAAGTAGCATTAAAGGGAACCATTTTCCATGAGAAGTGATAAAACATTCTCAATGAAATTGGCAGAACTGGCTCTTTTAATAATTGAGGTGTTTACTTCTGAAGATTGGACAAAAGGGCCTTGTGGTACGTTCAAGACTAAGACTATTATGGCATAACATTTCATGAGTAAGACTGGGCCTCATGCCTTCACTAAAGTAGAGGACACCTTAAAAGTCAATTATGTGTAAGTGACACCAAGCAAGAGTAAATATTAATTGCTTGTATTTCCTGGTTAAATTGATATGAAAAGACATCTCTGTAAACACTGAGCTACCATCAGATATGACTCTTATGATAAATCAGAGTTTTAGAAAAGAAGGTTAAATATTAGAAATCTACTGGATCTCCAGGCTTCTGATCACCAAATCCTTTCCAGGGCATCAAGTTAATTTCTCACACCCAAGGTAAAAAAAAATGATGCAATGTTAGTATGGATATGCAACACAATAGTTTGCAAGCAAACAAGTTACACACAAAAGGCTCACAGTATATGCAATAAGCCAAGCCTTACGATTTTAGAAAACATTTCACAGAGTTGTTCAACAGTTCTTTCTTTCACCTCCCTCATATCCAAAGAACCATTAACTCATGGATAAATTGCACTACAAAATTAATTTCTGTAGGAAGTGTTTAATTAATGAAGACAATGCTAGAAAAGCCTTCCAAACAGAGCTCTCTTATGAGAAGAGAAACACCTACTGATAGAACTACATCTATATTCTAGTCAGAACATTTTCATTAGTAGTCTGAATTAGGGCTTTTAATCCGATTGACCAAAACAAACACACGCACCCCACTCCGGGAAGGGGTTAACAAGTAACATTCATCTGCGGACCTCTAATTTTTCTTTTACTTTCACGGAAAAGCAAAATAGCATAAAGGAACAGGAACTAAAACGTTCTAGTTTCTTTTCAAGGCCCTTATTCAAAACCCTTAAAAAAACCACCAAAGCATTTTTAAAACACTACATTTCGCAAGGCAGGAGAAAAGGACACAAACAGATCCTTGAAGGAGGGGGAAGGATGCCTGCCTTTGATTCTCGTGCGGTGGTCCTCCCCACCGCCCCCGTCCACGTTTCTAAGGCAGCATTACTGGCAGAAATCCCAAAAAACCGTCTCCAAAATCGCTTCCGGAGAGAGACTTGTTACTCCCTCGCCAGGCAAACAAGCGGCTGCTTTCTCGTAGCCACACCACCACAACCCTCGTTCCGAGCCACACGCAAACACAAACAGGCAGACCAACTCGCGGCGTGGGCGTGTGCGCGGCATCAAGGACCCACATCTGGGCTGGCCAGATGTTGTCAAGCTCGCCAATACCGACGGGGGCGCCTCTGGCCCACTTACTTTCAGAGGATGACAAATCTGGACCAAACCCCAACCAGAGCAGAGGAACTAAGGCCCTGCACAAAGGCGCAACACCCCAAGCGCGCCTGCTTTCCGTGCCCCTGAATCCCACCTCGCCCGCCTACTCGCTCGCGGGCGCCGAGAGGAAATGTGCCCGCGCAGCGCCAGTCCCGAGCCGCGCCGCCGCCGCCGCCGCCGCCTACCCGGCCGGGCACGGAGCCTTGGCCGGGGGCTCGCGCGAGGTCTCTCCCTCACCTGAGCGCCGTCGAGCCGAAGTCCCAAGAAGCGCTCGGTCCCCAGAGCTGCCTCCGGGAGCCGCGGGATATCCTTGCGCGGCAAGCGGAGAGCCAAGCGCCAGCCCCACGGCCCGGCGCGATGGGTCCTGGCTGCGCGAGGGGCTTGCCGCGAGCAGGAGGAGAGCGAAGCTTCTTGCGCGCCGTAACGTGTCGGGGACAGAGCCCAAAGCCGCCCGCTGCGCCGCTGGTGGCCCTAGAGCGAATGCGTTGCGCCGGCTCGCGGGGGGCACGCCTGGCTCTTGACGGGGCGAGGGCGGGACGGAGGCGGGCAGGCGGAGCCTGTCTCTCTCCGGCCCCGCCTCGCCTCGCCTCGCCTCTTCCCGCCGCCCGGGCGCAGGAGGAGCGGCGGCGGGCGCGCTGGCCTGTCCTCCTGGCACCGGGCGAGCGGCCCTCTTCTGGCCAGCAAGCCCAACCTGGAGCAGGTGGCTGTGGCAGCCTAGCCAGTCCCCGCGGGGGTCTCTGCTCTCCGCGAATGAGCCAGGCAGGCGCGAAGGGCAGACCTGAACCGCTTCAGCGCCTCGCTCTTCTCACGTGTGCGTGCGTGCGTGCGTGCGTGCGAATAGGTATCTCCGTGTATGTGCATGTGTTCTTATTTGTGTGTGTGTGTGTGTACACATGTGTGCACATACGTACCTGTATATCTATACCGCTTAGTGCTGGACTGGGAGTGGGGACCTCTAGCACCATTTCCCACTTGGCCTCACTTGGCACTTGGACCAGTCATTGGGTTGAGTATGAGCCGATTTTCATGGCCATTGTGAGTTATTTAGCCCACACTAAGCATGTGTGACCACCATTTTGAGTACATCATCCCTCAACAGGGGTTACACACTGTTATGCAAATCCCTGTTATGTCATGTGAACCAGGTAAATGGCTAAAGTATGGGTTGCTGTTGAAACATGGTTAGCTATAGTACAAGGTCTGGCCATAACAACAGCCTGCATAACAATTAAACTAAGCAAGCCCTCCTTTCATGGATACCAATGGCTATTCAGGACTTTGAGGAATAGATATGGGACCTATTTAGACGTGGGGCTAGGACCCCTTACAATTGTCCAATTGTAACCTTACCTTGAGGAGTTAGTGGTACTAGCTTCCTGATCATGTTAGTTGCCTGTTTGTACAATACACATTTTGAGATGCAGTGACCATGCTAAGAATCCCAAATGTGGCTGCATCATCAATTTGTATACAGGCATTATGATACTGGCTGTCTTATTTTCAGTCCCTTTCCTAACAGTTGCTAACATGGAACTCATGTTTCCCAGCTGCCACACACTGGGACAGCATTTTAAGTTTTGATAACCCTGAGAGTTCTTCTCTGGTCAGTTGTGGCTAACATGTCCCACAAATTTCAGTGGGTCTAAGCTTAGCATGACACAATATGGATTCAGCCCTATGGTTGTAGTTTTATTCTGGCTAAAGAATACTGGGAGGTGTAGGATTTTTTTTGTCTGAACAGAAAGGATCACACCTTTAGTGAGAAATTGTTTCTGGCTTTCATGGCATACCTTGCCTTAAGTGCCTGCAGACAGTGGAGTTAATAAAATAAATATTCATGGAGTATGTTTCCTTTGGTTTTGAACTCCTCTCAGGGATACTGAGTAAGCTGAGTAAGATGTGTGCTTTAAAGTAATTAATTTGGTGATACAGTTAATAACTATGAGTCTTGTACCTATTTTCTTCCAATAAAAGCCCACCATTCTTTCCCAATAGCCAAAGGGGTTTATTTTGATCTGACTTCTTTGATATGTCTGATTTGATCAGACTTCCTCTTTCATATACCAAATGGTTCCCAGGAGATTCCCTATTTTCATAATTCTCATTATTGGTTCCCTGTTCTCATTATTTCATCTCAGGCCTGATTTTTATAGCTGTCATGTGAAACTCACAAAGGTACTGAAAATGTAAGACATTTCATGATCATTTATAAAATTAAGCATTATTCTTGATGATGTTGAGGTGTTGAGGATATTCTGCATAACCAGTTGTGCATGGGGGACAGGCAGGGAATGATTGTAAAAATTAGGATGAGTTTCAGTTACCAAATTTACAAAAGCCTAAGTGGGTTTATTTCTTTATTTAAAGTGTTTATATGTTTGATTAGCATAAAATTCTCAAAATGGTTTACACAATACAATTACAATATATAAAATCCAACATTTAAAACAAGTTAAACAGATCTGCCTACAGTCAAAAAATCTCTGTACAGTGAAATGTTTGCAGGCCTATACAACAACAGCAGCAGCAACTCGGTACAATAATAACAGCTATCCCACATGTGCCAGGCAATTTAAAATCCAATATAAAACTAAAAAGTCAACAATAAAAACAGTGAGGAAATTTTAAAATACCTGGCACCAGAACTTGTATAGTGTTGACGCCAGGTGTATATCCCTACTGAGCTGATCCCACTAGCAGGGTGCCACAGCCAAGGGGTCCCGCCCTCCCTCATAGCCACCCTCTTCACTTCCTTCAGGGATGGCTCATGGAGAAGGACATTGGTACACGACCTAAGGATCTGGGAAGGTGTATATGTGAGAAGATGCTCCTTTGGATAGGAGTTGTAAGTAGAACAGAGCTAAGTGGAAGAGTAGAAAAGGAATTCATGCTCTAATAAATGAAAAAAGGAAAGCAGGAATAGATAAACTGAACCGCATTATAAATTTTTCAATTTTAATTTGTATCTATGCACAAAAATGAATGCTCTGTGGATAAAATGTGTCACTTTCATCTAATTCATTCTTACAAAATTTTGTTCTGATGTTAGTTAAATGAAAAGACATCTGTTGCGATAGCACAACAACTGAAAATCTACAGCTGAGTAAAATATATCATTCCAAACTCAAGTTGATAACTATGAAATAGTCACTATGGGAGAGGCAATAGGTGGGTAGAAAAGATAATTCCATTAAATACAGGATTTGTTTCATGGGTCAGGGTGTCTAAAACATTAAGTCAGAAGCTTCCCATCTTCCCCGGAATCTTGATTATTTATTTATTTTTCAATTTATAGCCTGTCTTTTTCCTACAAAGGGCTCAAGGCAGCTTACATCTCCTCCTCCATCTTATCCCCACAACAACCCTGTGAGGTAGGTTGGGCTGAGAGTCTGTGACTGGCCCAAAGTCACCCAGTTGGCTCCATGGCTGAGCGGGGACGAGCACCCAGATCTTCTGAGTCCCAGTCCCATGCTCTTAACCACTACACACCACACTGGATTATATTTTGTTCACTTCAGTCATTGAGCAGTGTGTTATATTTTAATTTCTTACCTATAATTTTTACATTTTAATTTCAATACTCTGTGCCTTCCTTTATCTCCTTTTCTCCTGCACCTTTTCAGGCAATCAGTCTAGAATATATTAAATGCACAGTTGTTGATATATGTATTTGTGTGGAATCAAAGTATCTTCCTCCAACCATAAGAAATACTATGGTTTCAGGGATATTGCTTTCTCCCAGAATATCAGTTGCATTGTATTGTTTTACATATCCTGCTTCTCCAAGGAATAAGAAGTTCCAGGGATGCAACACTTGCTTAGGTTTTGTTTCCTTTGGTGAGTAGTATGCAGTTTGAGAGACAAAGTAACCTGGAAGCTTATTGTCATTGTGTAATTACATTTTACAGAGCCTAAAAGAGGGAATTCAGGTGGGTCATCTCTGCTGTCCATCACCTAGCCCAGCTGGCTGTAATGGTGGGCCATCTGGAGGAGAAATAAGTTGGATATTGTAGCTGGCTACATTCTTTCATTATGTCCCAGAAACTAGCTAGATACTTTATTGTCAAGTGGTGTCAAGTCATCTCCGACTTACAACAACCCTATGAATGAAAGCCCTCCAAAATGTTCCGTCCATGACAGCCCTGCTCAGCTTTTGTAAACTCAAGGCTGCGGCTTCCTTCATGGAGTTAATCCCTCTCATGTTTGGTCTTCCTTTTCTTCTTCTGCCTTCAACTTTCCCTAGCATGATTGCCTTCTCCAAGGAGTGTTGCCTTCTCATGCAATGTCCACACTATAAGAGCCTCAGTTTTGCCATTTTGGGGCAAACTACACTGATAACCCTAGTCACAGAAACCTGGTTTGGTTTGATTCGATTTCTTGAAATTAAAATGAGAAGATTCCCCCTGGTAACAGAGTTGTTGCAATTTCAAGTGGTGTCTTGGGGTTGGTTATGCAAATCTTACATACAAGCACCAATGAGTGATACAGCCATGCCCTTCCCCTCCCTGTAGCCCCACACATCCCTGCATCTTATTGAGACCTCTGCAAAGAGGGGCCTGCACAAGCTGAAGTCAAGAAATATTCAGGCAAGGCAGCATTCAAACCAAGCTGTAGCACTGCACTTATTCCATTGTAAGCTAAATGTGCAATTCCCATCTACTGTCTGCGCTTTTGTGTCTCTGTGTACATCTTGTGTTTTGTTCTCACAGAGTACCTGACATAGCCAAAATAGTTATATAGCCTCGTATTCTATCCCAATCTTTCATAACAGTCACACACCCTTCTCCTGACATTTTATTTATTTTATTTTAAAATCTGTATACTGCCACACTATTGCAACAGGAATTTCTAGGTGGCTTACACCAATTTTGAAGTGGGTGCTCCATTTAGCACCATTTTCTCTGTGTGTACATTTAATTCCTATTATTAAAAAGTACCTGTAGCACAGAGAAAGATAATTTCCAGCTTTTGAGTATGCATGGTTACAAACTCACTATTCACAGTAATTTCCATCTCACCGCTTGGATGTTTTTTCTTGTCCATTTCACAGCCTGGGTAGGAATTTTACCACCTTGATTTTTTTGCAGTCAATTTCAATCTTGTCCCTTGAGTTTTATTCTCAGTTTCACAAACTGCAGAATTTTCTCACATCTTCAAGTCCCTTGTTCCTATCACTCTTCTCAACATTTGAAGGGACTTATTTAATTATTTCCAAAAGCCTTTCTTCAAAGCAAGAAGAGAAGGTAGCACATGAAAATGACAAGATGTGCATTAGTTTTGCCTCCCTCTTTTTAAAGAGCAGTTTTTATTAATTTTCCAGATAGACAAAAGAAAAATACATCAAGCTTAAGTCTAGTTACGTCTAGAGAAAATAGTACATTTAATGTGTCATTCCCCGCCCCCCCCCCATTCCTTTATGGGGTTAGGGTTAGGCAAAAATAGGCAAAGATATGGGTCAAATCCACCG